TCCATGCCCTTCCTACACACTCCTAAAAACTTCTGGCTAGTCTTCTGCATGTAAGGAATCCACCAGCAAAGTGGTTCACCAGTGCAATTTCAGTAAAATGATGATTCATGGAACAGCAAAATTATGTGATGTAATGCAGTGCAGACAAACACCGGGTATTGAAAGTCAACGCAAATACAAATGAAGGACAGGTCTTCACTGCACCCCCATACCCCATAAGCCCCTCCCCCACAAGGTGCTGTCAGTGAATTTGCATATGGATGCGGAGCCTGAGTCAGGGACACAGCCGGACAGGTTAGGAGGCTTCCCAGTTGGTGATAACTAAAGCAAATAATCAGCTTCCCAATAAATACTAGTTCAGTCATCCCTCAACATCTCATGAAACCTCCATGTTCTCCTTCTCTTTGCCCATGATCCTAATTTGCTACCAGCGTCTTTAATCATCTCACCATCCAAAAACACTGGGCTTCATTAGTACTTTCGTACTTTCCCTAACAAGCTCTCCGAATGGGTCCCCAGTTCTGTTCTTTAACGTTGTGGGGGTTTTTTCACTTCTCTGGTTGGGGGCACGTAAACAAATGGCTCACTAAGTGATTTCTTTTGCGATCTTCCCCACAGCACTGTGCAGTTTCGAAGTATATAAGCAAACACATTTTTCTGGGAAAAAAAAAAAAGAAATTTAAAAGGGTAAGATGAGGATGTGTTTTTTTAGGAACAGGGAAGCGGCTGGTGGAATATCAGTCCACCACATGCTTATGTCAAGGAAATCTCTCCCAGCTTGCATTGTGTGCTGCTGTAGAGCCTGGATTTGTCCCTTTGTAATCTCAGATATTTATTTGTTTTCAGCAACTGCTGTACAGTGTTTCAGCTTGATAGAAATCTAAATATTCCGGCGGGCAGATGGTCACAGCTTTTTAATTATTGCAGAAACAATTGTACAGCAATTTAGTATATGGTTTAACTAGCAAACAACATGAAAATAGCTGCCGATGCAGTGTGGTGTTAGTCTGTTTTGAAGTTGGGAGACTTCGCTCAAGCTTTATGATACCTTATAACAGTGTGTAATATGTGGCTCTTTATAACGCTGCGTAATGTGTGGTACTGTGTAACAACAGGTGGGGTTACATGGTGGTGCGTCTTTTTGTGAAATGGCCCATTTTTATCGCTGGGACTTTTAAGAAATGTCCTGATAAAGATGGCTGCAGATTCCTGCTGCAGGTCTCCATGAACATACCCCATTGAACATTACAGCTAACCTTGAAATCACTTCTGTCTCTTCGCCGAAATTGTCCTGAATTTCAATCAGGTCTAAATATATCTCGCAGGCCTTTCTTTGAACACAGGAAAGAAGTGTGAGTATCTGAATGCTAATAGGAGAGGTATTTAATTCCATTAGGGCAGTCGACACATTCATTTGGTGTGTTAAAGAAGGGTCTGATCTTCCATGATTCCTGCAGCTTGATTTTATTTTTTGTGAGGGTATTTTTGAAATGCTCCTTTGAGTTTCCCATATCAGCATCAAAGGCGATCGGATCTCTGATCATATTTCTGGGGGAAATCAACTGAATGTCTCCCCTGTGAGGTTTGTGTCAGTGTGTGTGTGTGTGTGTGTGTGTGTTGCAATTTTCCTATATGGAACCTTTTTTTCTGACTTTGCTTTATCCAAAGTAAATGAGGCCTCATCTTTTTTTATTTTTTTTGTGTGTAAAAACCTCACCTTGTTGGTTATGATTTTTTTTGTTCTGAATACTGTTTGAAAACATCGTCACAAATACAGAAATAAAATCATATAAGTCTGCATGTGTGTCTTTGCGCATGTGTGTGTGTGTATGTATGTGTGT